CCGCCGCGGGCCCGCCGCATCACCACCGAGTTGAGGTTCACGTTGAGGGAGCCGCGGAGGCAGGAGGCCGAGTAGGACAGGTAGGGCCGGCAGTCCAGCACCAGGCAGCGCGAGGGCTCCTTCCGCAGCAGCTTCCTCAGCTGGCGGCAGTCGAGGGACGTGACTTTCATGCTGCCCGCGGGGCTGCCCGGCGGGGCCCGGGGCTGCAGCGGGGCCGGTGGATGTGGGACGGCCGAGGCTCCCGGGGCAGGGAATCCCGAGCGCCGCCGCCGCGCGCCATTTATATGAATGGGAGGCCGGGCCCTGACGACACTGCCCATATAAGGCGAGTGACGCACCCGCGCTCCATATGTGGGCATCGCCCTCCCCATCCCGCCGCGCACCGCCCCCCTGGGGGGGATCCCCCCTCCTTCCCGCGCGGCGCGGGGCTGAGCGGCGCCCGGGGGGCCGCGTTACTCAGGCTCGGAGGCAGAGGAAGCTGAAAAACGCCGCAAAAATCCTCCAGTCATCGGGCCGCGACTCACTCGCACCCCCGTCATCGCCTCTGCCCGGCCCGCGCCGCGGCCGGGAAGCGCTGCAGGAGGAGGAGGAGGAGGAGGAGAGCGGGAAGGAAGGCAGTGCTGGGCAGGTCGCTCCGAGTCGCTCAGCTCCCCGCACTGCCCCAGTGACCCCCCGAAGCGGCCCTGCCTGACCTGGGAGCAGTGGCACGGTGGCCTTGCCGGGGTGCACGGCGACGGGGGACACCAGTGACACTGCGGGACACGGGAGAGGGCAGGGATGGGAGAGCCTCTTGCACCAGGACATCCCCTGGCAGGGCATCTTGCAGCCCTTCCGCTGTAGCAAACTCCTGTGCTGTGAGACAGGGAGCCAAGGACCTGCAAAGAGCCTGGCGCTGCTGTGCATCATGGCATCATGGGCCAGGAAGTGCTACATCAACGGATTACAGGGAATTTGGCAATTACCTATTTTATTTATTTATTTATTGAGAATTAACCTGGAAATCCTGGGAGACACCAGGCAAAAGGATAAGGTCCAATGCAGGCTGCAACCACCAGGGAAGCACCCTGGGAGCACAGGTTACTTGTGCTGATGGTGCCCCAAAACTGCGTTCACTCGTCAAGGGGTAGAAAGCGCATCCCGCCCACACCGAAACGGAGGTACCGTCAGCACTGCTCCTAGAGGAAAACGAAAGAGACCGAAAGCTGCTTTCACAGCCTCCTCTTCCTCTTTCCCACTCCCTGCAACCTCCAGGTCCCCTTGTCCCCCGCCTCGGCTTCCGCTGGGGATGAGACGGAGCGGAAGCAGCAGATGTGCCCAGAGGCGGCTCCGTGTGGGCGCTGCCTCCCCTGCCCGTCCCCTCCGTGGGCCGCGGGGCAGCCTCGGCGCTGGTCGGAGGGGCCCACGTGTCCGTGGCTCCCACTGCGGCCAGCTCCCGCTGTGAGCATCACCAGGGCAGCATCAAAACCCTTCGCTTCCCGTTATCCCACGGGATGCCCATCCTCCCATTTCCCTCCCAAGGAGGGGACGCCGGGCGCCGGGTTAGGGCATTTACTGCTGCTCACAGCGCACCGGAAGGCCCAGGCCCAGCGCGAGCCCGGGCTGCGCTTCCTGCCCTGCCTCCCGCGGGAAGCGCGGGCGCCGCGCGGCCGCTCCGACGGCTCCGCAGCGGCCCCGAGAGCAGCCCTGCTCACTGCCTGCCCATGGGAAACCAGCGGCAGATGCTGAGGGGCTGGAGGAAGCTGGGGCCAGGCTGGGTACAGGGGAGCTTCGCTTCCGCCCAGGAAACCCAAGCAAAACGAAGGAGAGCGTTTCCCCATGCTTCCCCAGCGGAAAAGTTTGAAGGAGGGGGGTGACTTTTGCAAGTCCAGAAAAAATAAGGTGCTGCTTGCCCTGGGTGTGTGTATAGGGGGAGAGCGGCCTGCAGCTGACCTTCCTCCCGCACATTCCTCCTGCCTGCGCTCTGAGCACTACCAGGCAGCAGATCTCAGCTCCGCTTTTGTTTCCTAATGCGTGAGTCACAGCCACCTTTTTACTAGAAGAAAACCCGGGGGTTCATAGCAGCAGTATTGGCAGATTCCTCACGCTGCCCGTGCCCGGTGCCTGCAGCGCTCCCGGCTCCTCCGCTCGCCTGTTCCGGCCGCGGTACCGGAGCACTTCCCTCGCACCGCAGGTGCTCCCAGCAACAGGGGACAAAGGGTTGGGATTCTCAGAAGCGGGGACACTTGTGCAACTTGCAAACCGCTCTGCTGAGGTAGGAAACTCCCCTCCTCGGTGCGGCCACATCACCCCGTTCCCGCTCAGGGTCTGCAGCCTCTTGCTGCTCCTCCTCCCGCTTCCCCTTGCAAATCCCCCTGCTCCTTCCCGCTTCGGCTGGGCCTCTTCTTGTGGGCTTTCTCTGCAGCCCTCCCTGCCCGGGCTCTCAGGCTGGATTTCCCGTAACGGACTCCGCTCACCTCTTCTCTCTCCCGACCGCTCCCTTTCCTCAGGAGCGTGAGGTGAAACTTTGCCATTGCAGATCAGGAGCTCCAGTTGGAAAAAGCAGTAAAAGAACCCTGAAGCTCTGCTGGCAGGGAAAAGAGTAAAATGCAGCCTTCTGGGAAGAATAAAAGTCTAAATGTCTTTTAGAAAGGGCTCAGAACAACTGCAAAAGCAGCAGAAGCACCCAGGCACCTGGAAGTAGGGCCACCCTGCACCGGGTGCCCCTTCCTGCTCCCCAAGGAGTGAACCCGGACATCACCAGGCAGAGCTGGGCCAAGGCCACACGCTCCAGCTGCAGACACCATAGGGATGGTCCCCTGGGGATGGATCCATGAGGGAGGCGGTGGGTAGGGAACACCCTGTGGGCCCCAGCACTCGTGGAGCTCCAGCCGCACCACGTCCTGAGACGGCACCTCCCGCAGGCCGCGAAGCTCGAGGGATCCTTCAGGATCAAGGAGGAACAAGGCACGGGACAGCGGAGGAGAAAGCTTCACGTTTCTTAAATGTTATCAAGTTTTCCATAACCTCAGTTTCTAATTTTGGAGCGGTTGATGTCAAAACCCCTGCAGCACAAGCAGTAAGATAAGTTTGTGCTGGTAAATGCTGAGCTGGGAGAGAGGTCAATTTATATCCACAGGCTAAAGAGAGCCAAGCACCGCTGGCACGAGGCTGTGAAGCTGAGAGCCTGTCAATGCCTTGACTTGATCATGACATTGTGTGCAGCAAAAGAGATGGGCTCATGAATCAACATTGTGTATTACAAACCTCAGTCTCACCAGCGTAACCCCCTGCCGAGGCTGGAGCCTTGTCCAAAACCAACTCCAGGGCACCACAACCATCCTCTGTGCTGGGCAGCACCAGAGCTGGGGTTGCTGCTCAACTCGAACCTTTTCCCCAGAAAAGTCACTAAAAACAAAAAAGGATGAGTAGCTGCGCAAACATTTTCACTCATACATTTTCTTTACAAAGTTCATACATGTTTTTTACTTTAAAATCTAGAGTCTGCAACGAATACATAATCTTGAGTGATTTTCCCAAAGCATTAGACAAAACTGCAGGCCACAAACTATACAGTTGGGAGACCCAACTGAACTTAGGTTCCTGCTGGCCTGGCTGTCTCAGGCTTGTTTTTTTTTTTTCTCAGTGTTGCTCCCGCGAACACTGGAGCCGTCTCAGCTGTTTTGTGCTTCAGTTCCCTTCTCTGGAAAGTGGATGCAATGATGCTGCCCTGTGCAGGTTGAGCACTTTGAGATGTAGCGGCTAAAATGCACTTCTGATTTACAGGCAGAATCCAGTTAAATAATAGTGCAATGGCTTGAACGGGAGATGAGTGAAAATCAGGCTGAAAGTGAATATGAGACTTATGTCTGATTTTTACCTGACTCATATCTATGTGACTCCTTTGACTGCCAAAGACTGCTGTCAATGGCCACTGGCAGCAGCGAAAGGGAATAAATGAGGCCTCCAAACCCCTTCCAGGGAGTGACTGCCTTTGCTTACAGATGGGCAGACATCCTCTCAAACAGCGATTCCAGCTATCCACTCAGGCAGCCTTCAATTTCCCTGCTTGCCTTACATGGCCCAGAGCATCGCAGGCGAGAACCAGTTATGAACGTAAAGAACTTCTCTTGCTATTTGCAACCACAGAATATCCCTGGGGTAACTACAGTAATTGCTTACATGGGAAAATTATTTGTAGAGTTAGCTGCCTTCAATGCGAGACAAAGCCCTTTTGTTCTTTTATCAACTCGCCAGTTCTCATTTGTTCTTTCCTCTTCCTGCTTCTGTTCCCCGCATGCATTTCTCGTGTCCCGGCTCTTCCTTCTCCCCAGACACATTTCCCAGGAAGCTGCTCCTCTTCCACCCGGGCAGAGCCTCCCCGGCCAGCAGCCCCACTGGGATTTTGCTCCCTCCTCCCTGCTGTTCCTGCCCCTCTGCACCTGCTTGGGGCAGTTGCTGTTTCTTTAGGCTACAGGGAGCCATCAACTGACGTAAGTTATGCTTTATGTGGCAGCTTAATTGACTATTAGGACAAGCATATTTTGGAGAAATCCTGGCTACTTTGGGGCAGATCTTTTGGAGGCTAATCTTATCACCACTAAATCTGATTCTCTCTGCCTTGGTCTTTCTGCCTGACTCATTTCTTAAGCACCAGGTTGCTGCCTAGAGGGTATAATCACATAAATATAATCCAGTGCACAGCACATGTTACTGTGCCCGCTCTGCTCACAGTGAGTGCAGCTCCTGGGTACAGAGCTGGCTTCTCCAGCAAGCTCAAAATAGAGCAATTCATGCCTGTAGCTGGGAATACTTTTGAGTCATTTTGGCAAACAAAATAATCACAATCAGCAAGAAGTATCACACCAAACCATCTCATTCAGTAAAGAGCATCACACCTCTGTTTTCTATAGCACAGCCAACAGTGGAGAAAAGCAGGACCCCGTGTCTCCAGGGTCCCAGGCAGAACCCAACCAGGGCTGCGAGTGGGTCCCGCCGCAGACTCGCAGCTCCCCCTCTCTACTCATCAGGAGGGGCATCGCACACCCCATGCCAGACAAACTCTTCAGGCAACCTTTGCGGAGAGAAAACTGATGAAGAGCAGACCGAGGCCTTGCTCTGTCCTCTGGATATCACCGCACACCGTTTTCCTGCACGGCCCTTGGCTCCACTGCAGCATATCTGGACAGAGGAAGCGCCGCGGGCCG